CCCAGCCCTCAGGGCCCCCGTGAAGTCCACTCCTAGTGACTCTCAGATCCTGCATGATGACCAGGCTGGTCTCCACGCTAAGCCTATACCCCAATCCTATTCTGGAGTCAGTCGGCTTTCTGGTACCCCTCCCCTTGCTGCCTCATTCCCTCTCCAGTAACCCCTTCTCAACTTTAGAGACCAGCTCAGATCCAGCCTCCTCTGACATCTTCCCTGACCATCTGGCTTACACCCAGCCACCAATTCTGAAGACCCCAGCACAAAGGGTGCCCCCCACTGAACCCTCAGTCTCTCAGAGGTGTGCCTCCCCATCTACATAATCAGGTCCCTCAAGACTGAGACCTAGCTTTAGCCTCCTTTCCCAGCCCCCAAACAGCTGGGGACATCCTGCACAAATAACAGGTGTCCTATCCATGCACATTGGTTACGCATTGGTGCAAGACCTCACTCATGACTCTAAGAGGGGATAAATTAGGGGTCTGGTTAAAAAACTACAGACCCTTTCTGTAAACACCACTTCCTTCCCGAAGGGGCTGAGTGGACCGAAGTCTGAGCAACAGCCCTGGCCATACATTCCCATGAAGGGGCTCCTTGCCTGGGTCTCCCCCTCCCCCCCACTGCACACATCCTTCCACTTGGTGTGAGGCCCCAGTTCAAACCCTCTCTCCATTGAGCCTTCGCTCCCTGCTCCCGCTAAAGCCAAGTTCGTCCATCCTGGACATGCCCCACTTTCACAAGTGCTCTTGTAGCCAGTTCTTAACAGGAAACAAGGCAGGAGAACAGGGACAACCTCAATTTTTGAAAAAAATCCCCTGGGAACAAAATTGCTTTGCACAAGCACAAGGAAAATACACCAGAAGGTCAGATTTGCCAGCTTCTGCAGTTTTGTGACAAAATACCCTGTACACATAGGATGTATGTCAAACACAGGTTCCATTTGTCTCAGCACACCGAAGGTCAACAGAGCTGACCCTCAGCAAAAGCACCGGACTGCACAGCTCACCCCCTCATTTTGCCCCCCTCTTTCTTCACCTTTCCCTCCTGTCCTCTCAGCTTTGCAGGTGGGTTGCTACCTAGTTTGTAGGGCTCCGTGCAAAACGAAAACATAAGGTCTCATTTCAAAATTATTAAGAATTTCAAACTCTTCTACGACTGCAGAGCATTTACTCTAGCATGGGGCTCTTCCACTTGTCCTGGTGGAGGGCTGGAGTCCTGCCCACTGGCCGAATCCCAAGCTGGGCCACCTTCTCTCCCAGCATCACCACAGGGAGCATTCCCTCTTCAAAGTGTAGCCTCAAACCATTTATGCGCACTTAAGCCTTTTATCTCTGATTTCAGAATAAAAAGTGCTTCTCCCTCCTTAAAGGACATTAAGGCATCAACAAACAAAGGTGGAGATCTGAGGTAGGAAGTGGGGCAGAAGGGACAGGGACCCCAATACCCTGTGGGCCTACTCAGAACTTAGAAGTGAGCCAACGAGGTTGCTCCAGCACACAGTAGGTGAGAGACGGTCAGAAGGGCTGTCCTGAGCTCGAATGCCCTCACTGCCCTGAAGATGCTGGCCGAGAACCAAGGCCCAACTCAGGACCTGAAGTCCTTCTTCTTTCCCACCTGCCAACACCTCTCCCCACAACCCGAAACAGGTTAGACCCACCCACTGTGCAGAATCCCCCTCCCACGCCCACCCCAGCTCTCCCCTATTTCTGCACCATGATCCCCAGAAATGGCCAGAATTGCATCCGAACGCCTGCCTTCCCTTTTCTACCCCCAGTCACAAAGTTGCTGACAAAGAAGCCTATCACCGAAATGCGTGCTGAGCAAAGAGCCCGCTTCCTGTCCTCACCGCCCCAAGCCCCTTGCTCTCAATGTACCCAGGACCTGGAAATGGATTTGACTTGTCCAAAACAGCTTTAGCAAAGGGGTCACAGGGTGTCCCTTAGAGGTCACAGTGAGACACAAACAATGGAAATCAAAAACTCTATCTTCACTCCTTGCCTTAGCTTTCTTTCCCAGAAAGCACGGGGTGTTGGTCATTGAGCACAGAAGGTCAGTATTTATGGTAGAAAAGCGACTAAGGTTTTATAATGATTTCCATGCCCCTGGCTTTAAATGCATCTCAGGGTGCCCTCAAAGCCTCACTTTCTCGTGGATCATGGTTTGGCTCCCCCCCGCCCCCAAACCCACTCTGTTAGTATCTGACCCACTCGGGCCACCACTAAGCTGCAGAAGCTGGAGGAGGGCAGCAGAGGTGCAACCCCATGGAGAGAGTAGACACAAACGCCTCGGGCAGATTCATATTCTCAGATGCTTGGATTGTGAAAGGGGAATGGTTTGGAAGGCTAAATTGTTTTATGGAACCATGTCAAATTTATGTCCAAGAGTCTACTGAAAAATAGGAAAACAAAGCTAGAAGTTATGCCACTCAGAGTTAAATACTGAAGGAATAGTTAAACCACAAACATAAAGATTTTCTGTTCGCTTGAGGAGATAAACATTTAGGCATCCTAAGGCACAGGATTTGATCACATTTTTCTACCTTAACTTCTTTTCCCAGATAGTTGTTAAAAAAAAAAAAAAATCATGCTCTTATGTAAGAAGCCAACGGAAAAATCAATGCCAACAAAACACGGAGGAAAGGGAAGAGGGAGCCACATACCGTTCCCTCTGTTTCAGAGACAGAAAATAATTATATCAATATAGGTAACAGATCATCGTCAGTGTGGCGTTCTTCCTCTGCAAGCTTCACACCGCCCCAGGAAGTGGCCACAGTCAGTCCACACCTGATAAAATACCTGAATTCCTCCTTTTATAGAGGAAGATCCCAAAGGGCTGGTGGCATGTCCTGCTCACCCAGCAGAGTGGGTGGCAGACTACTCTTCAGGGACAGTCCACTTGGCAAAGCTAAAAAGAAAAGAAGTTGAAGCCGTGCTTTGCGTTTTGCAGAGGGTTGGGGTGGGTAGGGACTGGGGGGACATTAAGTCAAGTCTGTAAGGACAGATGAGGAAACCGAGTCTCAATGGAGCTTAAGGGTCTTGGTCAAAGTCACACAGCTCCCCGTGCTCATGTCATCGTGCCACCTGCCTCACAGTCAGCTTTAAGCTTTGCATAACTATTGTCATCTGGAAGCATTCCATGTGCTTTTATTATTATTTCTTGAAACAAAGAATCCCCATACTCGTTCTGGGTTCTGCAGATCTGTTGTCATCTTAGGTAAGTAGCTGACTAGACTTTCACTGAATCTGGAAGACACGTGTGGACGGATCTGCCTTCCAACAGAGGCTGTGTGCCACACACAGAAGCAACACTGGGTAGCTAGGAGAACAGCATCTCTGACAGAAAGTCAGCCATATCTCAGAGCAAAGAAACTCAGGCATCAAAGGCCTGTGTCACTGCTGAGCGAGAACAGGCCTTGTGTATTAAGATACTGTATGCAGAAAAGTAGACAGAGGTTTCAAATATGAATGCAGATGAAAAGTCACAAGGGCAAACATTTCAAATTGCAGGCACTGATGTGTAATCAAGTTCTTTTGAAACTGCTTTGTGTGGGGGCAGCTCCTGTAGCATATCCAGGGTGAGTGGCAACCAGGATTCGTTTTTTAAGGATGTTTAATGGCTTTCCCTGGGGGTCAGCTAGTAAGGTACTATATGCAGAAAGGTTTCATAAACTCCAAAGCACGATAAAATGTGATGCCACAACATCATGATATTTCGAACTCTTACTAACCATGTTGCTTATACTTGCTAGCTGCCAAATGTGCCAGGCATCTTTAATACCTCATATAAATGAGGAACAACAACAACAAAAAAATCCTGACAACCAAAAGCTTGATCTTGTAAAAGATTTCTTTACCTGGCTAGAGGTATATGAAAAATAATTCTCTACCAAAATTGCACAGATGTATGGTTCACATATAAAGTGGAAAAAAATCATAAGATGGGGAAGTGTCCAAAGAGAAGAGGCATAAATAGCAGCAACGGGCTTTTTGATATGACTAAGGAGAGTCCGTCTTGCCTGTAGGCTGATGAGAGGGCGGTTATATAACCGAAGTTGGGAGCAGGGTGACAAGGATGCAGCCACACGTCTGGGAAGTTGAAGTAGATTCTCTCCAGAAACAGGCGGAAGAGCTGGCTGACCTTGAAAGTTAATTCCTCTCCCAAATTATTAGTTGATTTTTGCCCCAGTAACAAGGGAAAGCTGGTAAGAAGATATTAATGAATCTTCCAAGAAATGAGACAAGGCTGCTTTCTTCTAAAATTAGACACAAACACAGACTAATAGTAGGCTGCTCTGTGCCCATGAAAAAAGCTGAGCCGTTCATCTCACTAGTGTTCATACGCTCTGGTGGTCTGTACAATATAACCTAGTGGTTAAGGATGTGGACTCTGGAATCAGACTTCCCAGGTTCAAATCCTGGCTCTGTCACTTGCTAACTGAGCAACCTTAGGTCATGTACTTAATTAACCTAAACCTCGGTTTCCTCATCCCCCTAATAGGGTCATTAAGGAGAAAAAGAGAATCAGTAAGTATAAAGTTCCTCTCGAAGAGTGTCCGGCAAATGGTAAGTGCTGTAGACCACATGTTTACAATCACTCTCCTGTTCATGGGCCTGATAACAAGGCCCGATCTCTAGGAGAAGGCCCCAGGGAAGAGATCCATTAAAACTGCCTATCATCCTCGATTTGAGTTTCAATGTTTTTTGTTTATGTTTTGCTTTATTTTATTTCTTTTTTTAATGAAAGCAAGAACTTCTGCCTTCCTCTGCCAGGGAGCAATGAACCCTGTCCCCTCAGTAAGTGTGATTTTCATGAGAAAGTAAGTAGAATGGATATTTCTGAGAAATAAAAATCCATGCTATATACCCTTGCTGTCGCTCACATGACACTTTCTACCAGCCATGCCCAAAGCCAGCTGCCAGCCTGTTGCAACTGTGACCTGCCTGGGTGCCTGGACCCAGCTGCCCTTCCTTCCGCCTTCCACCCCAATTCACAAACTTGCCAACCTTCTATGAAATCCGAGGCCGAGTACTGGCGCTGATTTGGGCTGCCCTCCACAGGGCTGTTCAGGGTCTCCAAGGCCGACTCGACAGCTTCTACCAACTCATCCCGCTTGTCCTTCCTCACGGGTTTCTCTTCGGGGTGGCGAGTCAGGCCGGTCTCCAGCTGGTACACCTTCTGCAGCGTGAAACTATCGAAAGGCACAGCGGCGTACTCCGTGGCCACCTTGACGCCAGCGTGCACCTCTGCCTTGTCCACCTGGGAGCGCAGGAAGGCCAGCAGGTCTGCCTGGGTTTTCTCCGGGGGCCCCTGCTCCAGCCCCAGGCCCGCAGCGTCGCTGGGGTGATACTGCGCGGCCTTGAGCCGCTCGCTCCTCTCCTGCAGCTCCTGCTTGAGCTGCGCTATCTGCCTCTTGAGGCTGCCTATGTAGTCGCGGTGCTGCTCCTCCCACTCCTGCAGCGCCGCCTGGAAGCCCTCCTTCCCCGTAGGGCCGCTGGCCCTGGGCAGCCCCAGCTGCTCCTCGTCACCTTTCGGAGTGCAGGCCAACATGTAGAGGACAGAGATGGCGCAGCAGAGGAACACGAGCAAAACCACCACCCGGGAGACCCACGCAAGCAGCCCCCGGCGGAGCATCCTCACTCAGCAGTCAGCCATGCGTCCACACCCGGCCACATTCCAGAAGGCCAGGGCCCCACGGCAGGGCTTCCCTGGACTAGACCGCAAGGAGCACGTGTCTGGGGCCCCCCAGGCTGCTTTCATCCATTTCTTTCTACAATGGCTCTGGTCCCTTGAAGTCGACCACCACGTGGAGCAGTTTTCCTACTTGGAAAGGATGATCTAGGCAGGAGCAACCAGTTCGGTGAAACTTCCAAGCATTCACATTCATTCTCATCATAGCCTCCAGATGTGCAGCAGACCACAAGCAAGGACCTGGGAAGAGATCAAACGGCAATACCACTTAATCGAGACGATAATACCCTTACGTTGACCGTGGCAACCAATATTCAATAGGCGTCCCATGAGGCTTACAGAAAATGCTTATGACAGGGGATTAAATACCATTACATGTTTCTAAATCAGAATACCAATACGCATGTGCACAGCTGTGCTCAGAAAATAAAAAGGATGCAGGAAAAAGATTCAAAGGAAATATGGCAAAATGTGAATTTTAATGGTGATTTTCCTGCTTCTCTACACTTTTCTCTATCTTATAAATTTTTCCACAAGGGCACATATTATGGTTAGATGGTATAGATGGTTAGAAGGGAAAAAGCAAAACTTTAATGAAACTGAAGCTGTGGGAAGGGACTTCTCCAGCCAGGGCCTGCCCAGCAGTGGTAGATGTGGAAGGTGAGGCCTACCTGCACTCACCTGTGTGCACTCACTCAGGGCAGGGCTGAGAGCTGACTCAGACTGGTCTTCAAATTTCTTTTTTTTTTTTTAAGATTTTATTTATTTATTTGAGAGAGAGAGAGCACATGAGAGGGGGGAGGGTCAGAGGGCAAAGCAGATTCCCCGCTGAGCAGGGAGCCCAATGCGGGACTCGATCCACGGACTCCAGGATCATGACCTGAGCCGAAGGCAGTCGCTTAACCAGCTGAGCCATCCAGGCGCCCCAGGTCTTCAAATTTCTGATGAGAAGTGGGGGAAGCCTCTGGAGCTTCAAATATGTAAATAGTAAATGTGGATGATAACATAATAAGACAGAGTCCTGGGACAGTTGCTGCAGCTAGCTCTCCAACTCTGCTTGCAGACCGGGGATGATGAGTTTACCACAGAAAGGGATGGGGCTGGGAGAACAGAGATCAGAAATACTTGTCTTGTCAGGACTCAAAGCCCAGGCACGTCTCTGCTCCAGCCTCTAGAAGGAGTTTTGTGTCCTGACTGATCATCAGGAATACCCGGACAGATCTCAGAGCCTTTCATTCAAATCCGTGCTCGGCACCTCAACTCCAAACCCCTTGTAACACCAGAGAAGCCAACCTAAACTGCCTCCTTCACTTGCCCCACGCTCCCGTCCTTCCTCCTCCACCCATTACGGACACCTCAGAGAACACTCCTTCAGTATTCTCCCTCCCCCCTCAATCCCCTTTCCTTGTCTCCCCCCTACCCTTCTGAGCCAGAAAACAGAAAGAAATAACGATAAATGGAAAATAAAGCAAATAAAATTTCTTGCTTAGGGAGATTTTTTATAAAATCTTCCTAGCTGCATCTTTGTTTATATAACTTCTCTTAAAAGCAAGCTCCCTGAGGATACTATGTCCTGACCATTTTATAAAAATCTGACATTTTAAATAATTCCCACAATAACTAAATTATTCTTTACAGAGTCTTCATCCAACCCAGAAAATCCAGATTCTGGGTCAATGATCATCTCATTTACTGGTGGTCTGTCCCATTTACTGACTGGAAGAGGACTCCTGTCAATTAGCAACTTCAGGACCTCTAGGAGAAGAAAGAGGTGCTCCTTCTAGCATTCTCTCTATGCTGAAAATATAATCAACCATAATGGGCTCATTGACTTTATCTGATATGCACCTGCTATGTCTAATGCACACAGAGAAAGATCCTCTTCTATTACCCTGGTGATGTGGCTCTTACATCATATAAACTATATTACCAAAATAGTTTATTTCTCAATTTTCCTTAAAAATTCAATTCCAATATTCCCCTTGGCCCAAGGAGTCTCTCTGCTATAATTTAGAACAATACACAGTTATTAGCACTAAGTTTAAAGTGCATGTTTAGCTCTGGAAGCCTGTTCTGTCTGATGAAAATCTTGGGATTTGTATAATTACTATAATTCTGTGATTAAAAACATCTCAGCTTTGGTATTCAGGCACCTTGCTGTTTTTAATGAAATCTCTCAGATGAACTCATTATATCCAAGTATTAAATTACCAGTGAAAACATGTTATCACGTTATTCTACCATTTTAAAGACTTTTACTTTAAATGGGTTGTCATTAAAGGCAAAATAAGCAAATCAAAAAACAAAAATGGAACATTCAACATTACTTATTGTGCCACAGAAACAAAGGGCGCAATCTAATTGTTATATTTGGAATAATTGTTATATTTGCATAATAAATTGAAATCATGTTGTTTAATGAAGCAATATATTAAAGCTATGGATGGCTAAAGAAATTTAGAACTGTACAGTAATGATTTTGTTCTGTTCCATAAGTCTCTTCAACATCTAGCCCAGCTTTTGCAATTCACTAGTATAAATTTCAAAGTTACTTGATATTCCATTCTTCGGGATGTAAAAGGAGAAAAAAAAACAGATCTTAGGAAGAAATGACTCTTTACAAGAAATAAGAAAAAGCCATAAAAATTATAGCCAAAGAAGCAGTGATGGATTTCTCCTTTTAAAAGTCAGCAGCAGATAATATGCATCAGAAACAAAGTTCTACATTCTTTAACAGACAGAATGTTTTCTAACTATTCTAGCAATCTAATCTGTAAGCAAAACCATAACTGGCTAAACTGTGGAGGCTAGGAGTATGTCCTTCCTAAAGTCAGGCGGCCTATCTTTTGGCTTCTTGCTTCTACGGAGACTTTAGGGTTTTCATTTGGCAGCATAGAACATCATTCTTAAAGCACATGTCCACAATAGCCAAACTATGGAAAGAGTTAAGATGTCCATCGACAGATGAATGGATAAAGAAAATGTGGTATATATATACAATGGAATGTTATGCAGCCATCAAAAAAGCCCCGAAATCTTGCCATTTGCAATGACGTGGATGGAACTAGACGGTATTATGCTAAGCGAAATAAGTCAATCAGAGAAAGACATGTATCATATGATCTCACTGATACGAGGAATTCTTAATCTCAGGAAACAAACTGAGGGTTGCTAGAGTTGTGAGGGTGGGAGGGATGGGGTGGCTGGGTGATGGACCCTGGGGAGGGTATGTGCTATGGCGAGTGCTGTGAATTGTATAAGACTGTTGAATGACAGACCTGTACCTCTGAAACAAATAATACATTATATGTTAAAAATGAACATAGTAGGAAGGGAAAAATGAAGGGGGGGAAATCGGAGGGGGAGACGAACCGTGAGAGACTATGGACTCTGAGAAACAAACTGAGGGTTCTAGAGGGGTGGGGGTGGGGGGATGGGTTAACCCAGTGATGGGTATTAAAGAGGGCATGTACTGCACTGGATGGAGCATGGAGCACTGGATGGAGCATGGAGCACTGGATGTTATACACAAACAATGAATCATGGAACACTATATCAAAAACTAATGATGTAATGTATGGTGATTAACATAACATAATAAAATAAAATTAAAAAAAAAAAAGAGCACATGTTACTTCACCAGTCAGGAAAGAACACCTCAATGAGATGTAACCAGACCAAACATCGAGCGAAACCTATAGGGAAACCAGACCAAACGCAGGGCTAAAAGACACCGTGCAATCTCTCCCTATATCCACAGAAGTGCTGGGAGAAGTAAGAGTTAACATTTACCATGTGTTTACAGACTTACAGATGGAAAGCACCATGTAATTACCAAAGACTACTACAAGCTGGAGGTGACAGTGAAAATACAGCTTTATGTGGTCACAGCAGCATAGTGCTACTATTTTAAAAAACTTAGAAAAGGCACCCAGATTTTAGACTAGTTCAGTCTTTGGGGGTGGTTGGGAACAGAGAAGGAGTGGAGAGCAAGCTGGAGCCCTGTCAATAACCAATTTTAGAACCTTTGGGAGAAGAGAGATGCATATTCCTATTTTTTAATAGAAAAAAATCCTTGTGTTCATCAGATTTCTTGCCACTTACAATTCAATTTTTAAAAATTTTTTTAAAGATTTTTATTCTCTTAAGTAATCTCTATACCCAATATGGGGCTTGAACTCACACCCCAACATCAAGAGTCACATGCTCTACCAACTGAGCCAACCAGGCGCTCCTCTTGCCACTTATATTTCTAAATGTCCATCCTTACTAATTGCTTTCCTCAATACTTTCCTGTCCTTGGCCAACTCCCAAGGATGGCTCTGTGACACATCTTGTCCCAAACACTGGGTTTATTGATTAGAATGGAGGGACTATCCAAAGCACAATGGTTCTGCTACCATTCTTGCAATCTCTGGGCAACAAAAACCACAGGGTATAGGCTTCTTCATAGTCTACTATCAAGGCAAGACAATGTTGAAGAGCAATGCTTTCTAGCATCCACCCAGGTCTGAGCCCACATAAAGCAAGGTTATCCTCCAAACTCTCAGAATGGAAAAGCATTCTCAGTGCAGACTGGTGTTCCATCATCCGTGGGCCAGGATAACCCTAAGAACATTTTCCCTAGGGTCTCTAGGTAGGGGATTGTTTAAGGAATCTACAGCACTTTCTGAACACGTAAGGTAGAGAATCTGAAAGACACAGTGGGCCTCTGCCAAGGGGTCCAGCAATGGATGGGTTTCTCAGACTCTAGGTGCAAGTTGTCTGACAGCTCTGACATCCTGCTGGGAGCGGGAAGCATCCAGAACATCACCCAGCTCTCCAAATGACCGAGCAGTGACCCAACAGTGAGTCAGAATCACAGTCTACTCCATCTAGGATACTGTTACCACGCTTAAAACAAATAGTTATTAAGCACCCACGATGTTGAATGTACTCCTGTAAGAAATTACAGGAGAAGATGAACCAAGCACAAATTCCAGTATCCGCACATTTATAAGCTTTATAGTTCAAATGACTATAATATAAGCCTCCTATAGGCAAACACCATTAAAACAGATATAAAGTGTTAATGCTTACCAAACGTACGTGGAAGACAGGGGTGTTGAGACGTATAAATAAATACATTTTAAAATGACAAAAGTTTAAAATAAATGGTAGAAATCAACAACAGTTGTTAAGATAAGATAGACAAGTGGCTCTGGGCATCATTTCATCTTTGAGTGGATGCTCTTAGAGGGTAAAACCAAGCCAAGCCTAAGTCTGGTTCAGAGTCCAACATTTTACCCCAAATGGGGACAGTGGAGGTTAGAAATTCTATGACGAGGACAGAAGTACCTATCCTAAGAAGTGGAAGGATGGGCGTGGGCACTTCACTCTACAGATCCCAGGGAACATTTGGGTCATGAGAGCTGTGTGCTATGACGAGAGCCTGCCAAGATGTGTCTATTAACGGCCACAAGATGCTCATAAGTCACCAAGGATTCCAGGACACCCACGGATGCAATGCTGTCAGGGTCAGCAGCAGGCAGAAAGGACAGTGGCTTCACAGTGAGACCAGGTCAGGCAGTTCCACACACTACGATGACAGGCCTTGTGAGCGACAGAGGAAACCATTCAAGGGGCGGCAGTAAATTCTACAAGACATCTCCACCCGTGTGCAGGCACAGCCAAGAGGGCTGACGGGGGAAGAAAACAGGCAGGGTCTCCTGGGCCAGGGAGGGGGAGGCCAAAGCCCCGGCGGCCGTGCGAGTCTACTCCACTCTGGCCCGTAGAGTCAGCTCTTTGATGCCAAGGCCACAAGCTAACCTTCAGTCAAAGGATTAGCTGTACTAACAGAACATAAATGGAGGTTCTATCTCTTGGATAAATACAGCATCCTGGACGTGTGTGGAAAAGGCATCATGCAAGAATTCTTATTCAAAGAGCTTCCAAATGCTCTCAAAAATGTATATGTAATGTAAATGCATGTAACACTGTAAACTTCACTCAAACACGTGGCTTCCTTTAGAATTCCGTCCATCCACCTTGGACTGACTCTCCCATGCAAGGAGCTTCCAATCTGACCCTCAGCATTGTCTCCTGTGGGCTTTCATCCCGCCGTGTGTTTGCCTCCCACACTGTCCTGGGGGTTTGAGATGAGTGGCCGATCACATAGGGCAGAAGTGGAGTGCATTTCTTCAAAATTCAACAGAAAACAGATAAAAAGCCATCATGAGAGCTGAAAAACCCTGAAGCTCACAGTGCCTACTCCCAGTGCATTCTGTTTATGGATTTTCCCAAGGTTTTTCCATCTGCCTTCTCTTAAAGGAAATGAGTATATACAGCCAACTCCTGCAACTGCTTTGTTGAGTCCACAATCATCTGCCTCTTGTGCACAGTTCGTTTAGGGTTGAGGCACTTGCAAAGAAGTGAAAACGGCCCGAAAATGAGCATAAGAGCTCATAATCTCCCTAAACCACATCCACCTGGAAGCGTTAGAGCTGGGGTTCCCAGGTGTCACAGCGCTTTCTGGAACGCAGGTTTCTTTTTCCCCGTGAGTCTTTAGTCAGCATCTTCTCTAGTGCCAAATGCTTTATCCTCGGGTATGTTCCTGACAGAGAATGAAGAGCTGAAGCAAGGAGGGAAGCGGAGCAGTATCACCGCCTAAAAATGAAGAGGTGCTGCGGCCGAGTCCCAGATCCCATGGGCTTCCAAGCGAAGTCGACAGTCAAACACCCAGAGTGGAGTCGAACGGGCCATGAGGAGTCTGAAGTATTCCTCCCTGACCTCATCCAGCCCTGATACCAGCCCCCTGGCCTGGGCCCAAGGCTCTGCCCTCACACAGAGAGGGGGCTACGCGGGCTGTGGCCTCATCACGTCAGCAGTTTTGCTGCTTTCCTCCCCCGACCTTGGGCCTCACGGTCAGCCGTCTCCAAACTTATCAAACATGATAGCACATTCCAGGTGATAAGTAACTTTTGACATATAGATGATAGAGAAGTATGTAAATTTACTCACTTATAAGTTACATACACGTTTTACAGCATTGTTGTATTATGTATTCACAAAACAGCACTCTTAAAATAATGCAGGAGAACATTTTTTGTTTGTTTGTTTTCTCACTCTGATGAACCTTCCTGGGCACCCCCAGGGACCTTTGCTTCAGGGGGTTACTGACCTCCTGACTGTGCTTCGTTTCCATGGCCCCCAGTCAACAGCGAATTCCACAGCCCAGGGCGCCTGCCTTGCTGTCCCCTTCCCAGAGTGACCCGCCTGCCTCTGGACCACACTGACTCAGTCCCAGGGTGTCCAACACCTGCCGCCAGGCCACGTCCCCACACCGCTGCCAGGAACGCACTCCCCTCCCTTCCTAGAGGACTCAGACTCAGCTGGTCTGTTCTGTGAGGTCCTCCCTATAACCTGGCTCTGGGAGCATATTCTCCAGGGACCAGCACAGAGCAGCCCAAAGGAACAGGGCTGACTACCTGTGGGTTGAATACTTCTTAGATGAGAGGTACCCTTCCATCCCCCCAACTCCACACTGGTCTCCTGAAAGAATCATTCCGATTCCCTTTTCCCTACCTCAAAGCAGGAAAAAAGAAATGTGGTAGAAGAAATTGGGGTCTGCTTGTCAGAAAGTAAAGATACAGAGATTAATCACAACCACACAAGCCAAAAAGTCAGGAAACAGGTCTAAACTGTTTCTGCTATTCTCTCTTGTTTTAATTTTGGTTTTTAATTTGCTGGTGAAACTTCAAAGGGAAGAACTGATAGAGGGGGGCTTCCTTAATATGCAGAGATTTACTGTTCCCCCCCACCCTCGCCCTACCTCGCTACCTCCAACCTTGTTTCAAGAAGCGTCCTAGGGGATCAGCCAGCACAGGGGGCAGTCATGGAGCCTACAGAGGGAAAAGAGAGAAGCGTCCTGGCACAAGAAGGCATCACTCAAGGGACTTAGAGTAAGTCTAATAAGGAAACTTTTCCCAGCAGGAAAGTGTCTCCAGCACATATGAAGGGCTGAGTCTGCTGCCAAAACACTGCAGACAGACCTGCCTAGTCTCCGTCTCCCCCTCAGTCCTGCGGGGCTCTCTGCAGCTGGTGGAGCCGCCCAGCCCCACCAAATGAGAACCCCGTGAAACCAGGCTTCCAGAACTCATTGCTCGTAATTACAACCACTTACTGAGCATTTACTTCGGGCCAGACATCACACTAAGCACTTTATAAACATTATCTCATTTAATCCTCAAAACAATCTTATGAGCTAAGTCTTATTATCCCCCATTAAACACAAGGAAACCGAGGCTTAGAGCAGTGAAGTCATTTGCCCAAGGTGCACAGGGGCAAGCAGCCAAGCCTGGTTTCAAACCCAGCTTCGTCTGATGCTAACACCCTGCTCTTACCCACTGGGCTATCCTGTTCAGCACCCTCAATGATCCTGGACTGCTTGCTGAGACCCGTTCCTCATTCTGCAACCATCATGTCCGATTTGTCTTGCTTCTGAACTCAAAATGAATCTTCCTATTTATGAGCTTGTCCAGCCCCTCAGATGTGCAGTAAACAGTAAACACTGTTTCTGTGCAATTTTTTACCTCCCCATTTAGCTGGGGTTTGCATTTCCACAACGCTTACAAGCTCTGCAAACTCACACTATCCCTAGAAATAATGCCAGTCCCAGCCATAGCCAGTGGGAGCGTTGCCTTGGCCCCGCGGCTGGGGCCGGGAAAGAAGACGTCAGCAACACGACAGCCAGTGCTTCTGAGCAGACGCCAAGAGCTTATACCCACCTATCGGGTTGAAGACAGCTCCACCAAAAAGCACCCTAGTTAAGTCGAATTTTTAATCAACTGAGAGATGTTCTTCTTTGAAAGGAGCAAAAGAGAACATCTCTCTGATGGTTAAGATGCTGGCTGGAATCACTACGGAACTCTTTCCTGCCAAACACTGATTTCTCACTTCTTTCCTCCAAAGCATGGCAAAAGAAGATGCCCAGGCAATGGCCATTCACCGTGTGTCAACGAATACCCTCATGTGTAGGCCAAAGTCAGCCCCGGCATCCGTGCAGATTCAGGCAAAGGCACCCCTCCCCCCACCAGAGACCACATTCCCAAGGTCACACAGCACAGCTTCCAGGGAAATGCACACTGTTAACTAACAAGGAGGGGACTAATTAAGAGTGAGCAATGCTCACAGCCAAGTACCTTCTAGCTCAGTCATAAGCACAGAGCCCTGAGCAGATGCCAGAGTTGCTGAGTGGTAGCTATCAGCTCCGAGGTGAGGTCAGAGGCGTGAATCACGGCACACGATGCCACGGAGGCTGAGGAGGCTCCAGGATGAGATGAGCCACACGTTAGTTAGAATGAGGGCAGCACGGAGAGGGAAAGTGGACTTCTCTCCTTTCTGATAACATGATCCATGCCCCCTATTAGCAGACAGGAGAAGGAAGAAGAGGATGAGAAATAAGGTTTAATGGGGCACCTGCGTGGCGCAGTCGGTTAAGCACCCGACCCTTGGTTTTGGCTCAGGTCATGATCTCAGAATCGTGGGATCAAGCCCCGTGTGGAGTTCCACGCTGAGGGTGGAGCCTGCTTAAGATTCTCTCTCCCCCTCCCCCTTTTGCCCCTCCCCTCACTCACAAATAAATAAAATCTTTTAAAAAATGTTTAACAAATGCCTCTACCATGTACTGCCCAATGGCTTTAAAACATTTATAGACACAGAGCTCCCAGGTAAGATAAAAGTGTTCACCTGGGTCGTCTGTTCAGGCAGCCCTGGGAGGGGAGGGGGCGCCACTGAGGACCGCCGGAGAATCACTAGGCCTCATGCATTACTTGCTGTCTTACCTAAACGAATGTGAGTCATTGATCCCTGTTCTCTGAGATGAGGAAACTGGGATCTGGGGAGGCCAGTGACCTTTCCACGCAGCTAGCGGGCCTCCACATCCCCCAAAACCACCACAGTCACCTACTTCCATCAGCCTGATGCTGCCAGGCATAGACAGAGCTATGCAATGTGTGGAATTAGAGAAAACCAGCAACGGGAGGCAATGCCCACAAACAGGGCCACAGAGAAAGAGCCAGAAGCTGAGAATACACACGGTGGGGAAAGCCCTAGAAACAGGACAAAACAGGCCTCCAAAGAGGAGCAGTCCATAGATACCAGTCTCTCGAAGTGCAAAATGGCACTCTGATCTGAAGGTCAGAGTTGGGGGACCTCTGTCCCCCTTCTCCATCTTGGGCTTCCCTAAGGTGGGACTCCCTGCTTGAGTGTGCAAAAAGCGATGACCGAGGAGCCTGTTCTCTCTGGCATATGTAGTCTTCTCATGACTAGAGTGTGCTGCCCTCTCCCAGGTCTGTCTTTCTTCCCCCTCCTCCCCGGGCCTGGGCATCAGTCAGCAAGATGCTGTGCAATGCTGTCAGGGTCAGCAGCGGCCTCCCGTCTCATGAAAGAAGGGCGTGAGCACTGCCGCTCTCCGCCCCCATCAGACGCTGGAAGGAACCATCACTGGAAACATCCTGCATCAAAGCGGTGCTGACAGCCACTCTCAAGAGTTATTTGACATGTTCTGCTGGCATGTTTGGGGTAAGAAGGGTTAAGAAGATAACTGCTACTTTCAGTCAAGATGAAATAAACAGCCTACCACCTTTCAGTTCTCCTCGTTCCTCCCCACCTACAGGGAAGACAGCAGCACACAAATGAGGGGCTTTCTTTTAGTAAGTGGTTATTATACAACAGGACTAGAGAAAGCACGTATTGTGCAGAATTATTTTAGAAACCCCACGAAGCTAGATCAGCAAAGCCTTCTCTCTTTATGCCATCTATCTCGATCTGGAAATAGAACCAGTAATAGAGAAAAAATTAACAGGAAGATGTCCAATATTACATAAATGTAAGACGTATTATTATTTTTCACAAAAATAAAACCTCGCACTGACTGCAAGGAGATTCTGTTCCGGCCCACTGCGCCCATGAGCACCTCTTCCAGGTTTCCCTACCCCTTCTTCAGCGCCCACTCCTAATACCCCTCCCAAGCCTATCTTGTAGTCAACTGTCCCTGCTAGAGGGTTAACTGATTATTAAGGTACTGGCTATAAGTATTTCCAGACATTGCTCCTATCAAGAAATTTATCCACCAGAGACACTGTCCTATTTCTACATAAGCTAAATAGCACAGAGTACTTACTTAATCCAAGTTTGTCATACAGTTTAATACTATGTAACATTCACGAACATGTTCTCTGTGTCACTCTTAACATAGTCCAGCCTCTTTCTGTAAACTTTTGCCTTTCTATGATCCCACTCTATCTGCATCTTCCTCCAGCTTCTCTGATGTCTCCTATGATGCAGGTTCTATTAATATCATACCCATTTTGCAGATAAGGACATGTAGGCAGAGGTCAGACATTTGCCTGAGTCATCTGGCAATGAAACAACAGAACTGGGCTTTTCATCCAGGCAAGCATGTCTCCATCGTCTGTGCTCTTGATCACTATGCTACAAGGCTTCTCTATAGCTTGCTACATGCTCAACAGAGGAGTGTTCATAGTAACGGGGAAGAGCAGAAAGAAGGCTGATGTGGGAATGCACGATGCACAGTGCTGGACGGTAAGGAGGCAGGAGAGGAGCTCGGAAAGGGTTTATAGCAAAGAGCCAGGTGTAGAAGAGAGCTCTCACCGGAACCCGACCACGCTGACATCCTGATCTCGCACTTCTGGCTTCTGGAACTGTGAGGAATCAGTGTTTGTTAGTTACACCACTAGTCGATGGTACTTTAAAATAGCAGCCTGTACAGACTACAACCAGCCCTTATATCATGACAGGGGATTTAAACTTTATTCTACAGGTGATGATCAGCCATTTAAGTTTTTAGATAAGAGAGGCACATGATCAGAACTGAATCCTAGCAAATGGGCAGGGCTGAGCCTGGCTGGAGACGGAAAGACCACCGTTAGAGAGAGGCCAGTTAAGAAGCCACCCACCACCTCGGTATTCCAACGAAGGCACGTGGAAGCAGCAGCACGAAATATGGGGGGAGGGTGGATTCAAGAAGGTTTTCTTGGGTACCACCTCCAAGATGTGGATGCCAATCAGACAAGAGGAAGAAAGAAAGTGTCCGCCAAGAACAAGGCCTAGGATTTAGCTTGTGTGACTCATACGATGGGGCTACCACTGAAAAAGCCAACACACAAGAGATTTAGCAGAAAGACAAGCTTGGTTTTGGACGTGTGGACGTGGCACAACCCATGGAATGTCAGGTAGAGGGGGAGGCCTCTGTTAGGAGGCCCCCACCCGCATTCTTCGAATTATCTGCACGGGCAAGGGCCTGCTCTGCCAATTCCTGCACCTCGATAAGACTTCACATTTCTATTTGTTTTGACTCTCGAAGCACCACCTCGTGTCCCCTTCTATCCTATCAGTACAGCTCAGTGGCTGAGAGGACAGGTTCTAGGGTGCAGACTATTCAGTCCTACAGTTGCTTGGCTTCCCTCAGCCTTAGTTTCCCAAGCACAGGAGCACAGAGAGGGCCTCGGGTCCTTCTGAGAGGAAACAAGATCGTGCATGTGAAGCACCGGGCACAAAGCTCACATGCGAGCCAAAGTGAGGCCCAAGCCCCCACATACAAGCCTGACACTGATGCCATTTCATGGCTCAGAAAAGTCAACCAAGGAGGAACAGCTGAAGTTTATACACATTTACGGGCTCCACACTCCCGGTCTCTTGCCTCTGAACGACACTCCCAAAAGTTCAAATCAAAGTAATTCTCTCACATCCCTATCGTCCCCGTAAAGCCCAGTTTAAAAAAAAAAAAAAAGAAAGAAAGGAAAGGAAAAGAAAAAGAAATCTGTAATGAATCTGAAAAGTTCTCCGCAAACTGCCATTTACACCAAGTGGTACAGAGGGAGTTTTAAACGGCAATCGCATTGAAAGGCTTAGCTCAGTCTCCGGGCAGAGTGGAAGCGCACAGGGGCGGTTTTCTTGAGCTTCTTCAACGTCCTTTGGGCCTCAGGATGATATAGTTCAGAGCTATGGACATGAGCGCAAGCTGCAAGCAAACTTTACTGACCAGAGAACTGACTGCCCGGACCCTGGGCACAACTCAGCTGTCAGACCTGCTGAGTCACTATTAAAGGGTCTGTTTGGGAGAAATCTCAGAACTTCCTAGGATACTTTTGAAATGCAGTTTTCCGGTAGCTCCAAATGATATGAGACAATACACTAGTGTTCTGATTTCACCTGCTGGTACTAGAGATATTCCTGGGGTTCAAAAGAAAACTTCAAACAACAATGAAAGCTGCTTCCCAAAATAAGGCTTCACAACGTCTCTGGTGAGAAGAGTCCCCGGGTTCCCTCTTCTGACTGTACATCATTATCCTGATACATAACAGCCCTCAGTTCAAAGCTGCCCAAGATGGGCAACAGGCATAAAATACCTCTTTCCTGAAAGATAAATTGGAATATTATCCTTTTGATGACTTACGTGAATCTGCAACAGTTGCTACAATTTCTACAACTGCACTACATAATGTCAAAGGAGCAAAACATACACAGTTTTGTCCCAGGCTACAGTGACCTACAATGCATTAGGTGCCTAGGGGAGATGAGCCGCAGCTCTGAACACACCACACGCTCAGTCCACACCCACCCTGCTTTACCAGAAAGGGATATGGGACTCTCGTAAGAAGCAAACACTCCATTATATCATGAACACAGAAAATAATTTTTCTGAAATTCTGCACTGATGTGCCAATTATTATGAATTTTATCCACTCATTCATCAAGTATGTATAGAATGTTTACTGTGTGAAAAGGACCATGTCAACTATGGTAGGGGCTAAAGAGGAGAGTCAATTGTCCTCACAAGGGTAATGGTCCCCTGGGAGGGACAGGTATAAAAATAACTGAGATACTAGGGGACTGCGATCAATCATTAGTAATAGAAACAAAATGCTGCTGTAGTTCAGAGCAGAGAACGACTGCTCTGGTTGGAAGGGCCAGAGAACTTTCAGATGAACTTTTCAAGGTATTATTTATTGGGTAGAAATGGGGACACTGGGGAGAGTTTTGGTCTGATTGTGTTTCTTAGTGTTCAACCCTTTTTCATATGCCCTGGGGCAAGGTGAAAAGAAATGCAATGGGCATTGTGTATTCATCCTTGTTTATTTATTTATTTTTTTTATATAGCTCCTTCTATCTAGAAAGCAGAGTTGGAATTTTTTTCTTGGCACCAAGCTAATGGGTCTCGAGATTGATATAAGTGCAATTATTCTGTGGAATAGTGAGTCTAAGGAGGGTTCAGCTTTTAATGAACATTGCTTTATCTCTATTAAAAGCCTATAATGAGGTAAGATTTTTAAGGACTTTCCTCAGCTACCATGGACTAGCACTGTTGCTTGCTGATGCCTGGCAGATATTTATTTCCAT